ATCGTCGATGAAATCCAGGCCGGCACCTTTGACCTCTCTAATCATCATTCGTTTTATGGTTTTTTTTTTTGGTGTCCTTGCTTCCCAAATCCCCTTGTATTGCCTGTTTGGCTGTGTTCGCTTCTATCCGGGATGTGTCCAGTACAGCGCCACCTTCTTTGTCTTGCAAATATGACCACCAGTGGTTGTCCACATTTTTCTCTTTTCCTAGCCCCTCTTCACATTTTATGCTCGTCGTTTTTCTCAAACATTTGTTTTTAAATGCAATTGACTTTCGTTCCATGTCTAAAGTGGTTCCGCAACTTTCAACTTTTCCTTGTATCAAACTCTGACGTATTGTATTTTGTTCGCTCTTCTTATAGGCTTTGCCGCTTTTGTTGGTAATAATGTATGTTCTGTCTCCAGTATGTGTTTATTGGCTGTAAACTCCTGCGGAAGGTTCTGGTTGTTCGTCCATTCCTGGACTTCGGCTTTGTTTTAGGACCTGACTTTTGTTTGTACATCCGTTTCACAGGTCGGTGCAGTCTTTTGTTTCTGGCTTATCAGACATATCTACGCGACCGAGGTTGTCGGGACACCACGTCTGTGAGGTTGTCGGGACACTACGTCTCTGAGGTTGTCGGAACACTACGTCTCTGAGGTTGACGGGACACGACGTCTCTGAGGTTGACGGGACACTACGTCTCTTAAGTTGTCGGGACACTACGTCTCTGAAGACCACCAGCTCCAAGATTCCCCTCCCATCTCTGTGTGGGCCGATACAGGCCATTATCTAGGGTGCACGACATGGATGTGTGGCAGCAGTCTGACATTAGGGCCCTATTGCTCTTTAATGAATTTTATTATTAATTTCATCTTAGTCTTCTCCTAATTTCTTAATTGGATCTTTTCTTGTTACGCCGGAAGCTTTTAATGTGCACTGTTAGTGGTAAGCATGGTTCTGACACTGGTAGCATACAGTTTACAAACACAGTTGCTGTTAGGTCTGCCTTGGTAGACAGAAAGTATGTTTGTCAGAAATGGTGCTAGTTCACCCAGTACCTGATTTGCTTTTGCAGTTCATATATTGATTTCTCTATCAATTCTTCCGTCTGAGGTGAAAACCGACTCTATTTGAATTCACCGTGCACATGTTCGGAAATGTCAAGAACACGCCGAAGTGCTTCCTTGGTTGGTTTAGGAGTTGCCAAATGTGTCTTCTTCATGCTAAAGTGGAATTCCTTGTCCGCAGATGAACATTCTCATCGCGTAACGTACAATCGACAGCCTCATACCTCAATTAGAGTTTAATCTGGTTTATTTTAGGCTTGGTTTTATTTGAGTCACACCGTGTGTACTTTGGGCTGGCCAGGCCCCGTGGGCAAACTAGCGGTGCACAGTGAGAATGTGAACGGTTTCAAACTGCCCGCCTTGTGTTGGAGGATTCTGGGTTTTGTAGACGTCCAAGGGAAATTGCCGAAATTATGTTTAACAGCATGCGAAAATGACAAGAGAGATAAACAACACATTAAAAATGAGAATTGTCAACCCTGCTGTATGTGCAGAGACCAGGACAGTGAACACATCATCATCATCAACCAATTCTACCGATTAGCGCCGTGGGTAGGTATAATTTGCGATTCACTATACACTGACTGGCACTGGCTTTTGTCATGCCCTGAAGTCTTTGTTTTCGATCGATAATTTGTGTGGTCATCCTCTTGTTCTTGTATCTGATTTTCTGAGATGTAGTGCCTGTGATAATGTTTGATGTTGCTGCATTATTAGGAAATTATCAAACCACGCAAATAGACAGTCATATTGTCACTGAAGATGTAGATAGCCAGAAGAAGAAATCGTATTTCGTGGAAACGGCAAATACAGAAGTTCTGGAGAGATTAGGAATGACAAGAGAGTGTGCTGCGAGAAATAAACAGAGACGGGGGACAATATTTCGACAATGTTTAGTATAGTAGCCAAAATTTCAAAGACTTCATTGGAGGGAAAAGTTTACAGTAGGGAAGCAAATTGTAGGTAGATATATAAATGGGAGGATGCCACCAAGAGGTTGAAGAATAGCAACCTATAGGGCGCACAATCAAGGTGAGGGGGGAGAGAGAGGGGGAGTGAGAACGACAGAGAGAGAGAGAGATTACAACCGCCCTTCATAGTGGAGGAAGAGACGGAATGTGGCGAATAAAGAAGACGGCGACTAGTTGTAAACAAGTTCATCACAGTGGGTCTATGCACCACACAAGTGGAAACGATCATCCGTTAGTTGGTATCGATCTAGAGTTCTAGAGGCAGCTTGAATTCTGCCCTTCGATCCAACGCTTTGTAGTGATTCAAACTATTGTTCGCCATTTGTTGTATTGTTCCTTATAAAGTGTTCTTTTTATCTGGCTGTGGTGGGTAAAACAAATACCTGATCCTAGTAAGAGCTGGCTGTTCGAAGGGAGATGTTTGAATCTCGTGAGCAAATGAAACGACGGGCACTGACCTCTACGGATAGAAGCAGGCACCTGGCATACATCGGTAACCTGGCAACTTGTAGTATTCCATTCCAGTGTAGGGTTGTTTGTTGTAGCGGGACCGTCGATACTACCAACGGTCCTGGTTGCAGGCTGTTGTTTATGTTGTTAGCCACACCAATTGCTGTTTCCTTCGTCAGTAACTCTCCGCCTCTTTCCACTCGCTGTTTGCATCATCGTCTCATCCCGTAGCATTGCGTGTCGTTGGCTCCCAGTTCATGTCGACTGTCTAATCAGCTGTCTTCACCTTTTGCGATGGACTTCATGGTTGCGTACCTGAGGCCTGTCCAGTTAGTCTGGTTCTGTAACCAGGTCTTTCTCTGTCTGCCTCTTCTCCTCTTTCCCTCTACTGAGCCCTGTAGTATTGTTTTTGAGAGGCCGTTAGATCTTATTACATGTCCATACCATTGCATCGTTTCTCACCTTTTCACTGTAGTTAGAAGAGGTTCATAGCTGCCAATGTGCTGTATAATTTTATGGCGAACCTTTTCGTTTGTAATGTGGTCTCTGTATGATATGTCAAAAGTCTTTTTGTGAAACGTCGCATTTTTAATTCTTGTATCTTACTTTCGAGTTTAGCTGTTAAGAATCGCTGTATGCAGTCGGTCAGTTTTTGCGAACCTCTGAACATGAATTTCCAATCGTTCTGTGTGGCTGCCTGTCTGAGTCTTCGTAGTAGAAATTTTTTAGAGAGAGAGAGAGAGAGAGAGAGAGAGAGAGAGAGAGAGAGAGAGAGAGAGAGAGAGAGAGAGAGAGAGAGAGAGAGAGAGAGAGAGAGAGAGAGAGAGAGAGAGAGAGAGAGAGAGAGAGAGAGAGAGAGAGAGAGAGAGAGAGAGAGAGAGAGAGAGAGAGAGAGAGAGAGAGAGAGAGAGAGAGAGAGAGAGAGAGAGAGAGAGTAGAGAGAGAGAGAGAGAGAGAGAGAGAGAGAGAGAGAGAGAGAGAGAGAGAGAGAGAGAGAGAGAGAGAGAGAGAGAGAGGAGAGCGAGAGAGAGAGGAGAGAGAGAGAGAGAGAGAGAGAGAGAGAGAGAGAGAGAGCGCGCGCGCGCGCGCGCGATGACTGTAAGTTATGCAACCAGAGCTAACATTCAATACCTTCCTTGACAACGAACCATCCCGGCAACTAACTCCTCCCCTAAACACACATGCTGCTAGCGTCAGGCACAGTCCCTCGGGCAGAATTTGTCATTTATTTTCTTTTTATCTCTCGCCTACGGATCGGAAGATCGTGGGTTCGCGTCCTTATGTTTTTCATATATGACCTTGGCCCCAGGTCGATCCAGGCTGGAGTGGGTTCCAGGTACAAGCCATGGGAAGTAAAGGCGGCCAGTGTGATGCTGACCACATCACCTACCCAGTAAATAGGTAGTTGATTTGCTGGAACAAAAAATCGACACGTTCAACCAGCATCCCTGAAGGGGGAGCTTTAGGTTATAATTGTGACTAGGTGATGTTTGCCAGATAAAATGGCTCAGCATTGCACATCACCAAGAGTCCCAAAAAGGACTCCAGTAGTGTTGATGTGATCACAGAAGACCCATCAACCTACAAAGCGCCGATTGGTCTATAAAATATAGGTTTAGCCCTATATGGGTACTTAAAATTTATACCACCCCATCTCGTCGGCTTCGGGATTTCCTAGGGAATTCCTGGACATTACTATATTATTGGGGGGGGGGGGGGGGGTGGGGGGGGTGGTATTGTGGGACTAGTGTTTAATGAATAGCCATTACTACTAAGCCCTAACCCTAAACCTTTCCCTCCCCCCCCCCCCCCCACATCAGACGTTTTGGAGATTTCCCTACTAAATCTCTAAGCAAACAAGATTGGGTTGTCTAAAATTAAAGAACCAGATCTAGTTACCCGGCCAGAATTGAACCTTTCACCAATATATGGCTTGTGCACCTGGCTGTGGAAACAAGTATACTGAGATACATGACCATCTTAGCACGCCAAAAAAAAAAAGCTATCTTTTTTTGCCATGTCTGTCGTACAGCTTGAAAATACACAACTACAAATCTCAAACCATTATTGTAGCTGAGGGCTGTAGCCATTTTATCATCGCGGCTCTTAAATATTAGCCAGATAAAGACAAGAAAAAAGACCCTTTTCCACGCCTTTATGCCTGTTGGGCAATTAGGGGTCCTTTATTTATAGACAACCCCATCTCGTAGGCCTAAAGATTTGGTAGGGAAATGCCCAGAACGTTATTTTTACAGAAAAAGGGAGGAGGTCCTTCAAGAATGCATGTCAGATTTAAGTCCCTAATGATGATGATAATAATGAAGAGAACTTTTGTACAAGGTTTGGATGGGGAAGCTTTGGGGGTCTGGGGCCCCCCAGTAGTATTCTTTGTGAGGGGGGGGGGGTGCCCAAACCCCCAGGTTCCTGCACCCCCAATGTGAGTATTATTTGCTTTCCTTATGGGTCCTTGTAAGATGCGCACATTGGCTATGTTTAACTGCATTATCATATGTCTGCTTTTTTTTTCAGAACCAAAAGACAAGTCCATCAATTAGCAGCCAGAACACATACGCAGAGTACGACTTTTCAGGTTTTGACGATCCTTCAGGGCTAGAAGGTGTTGAGAACGGGACCTCAGCCCAGCCCATAAACCCACTGCCGGTCACAGAACTTAACGGGCACCCTCTTGTTATTGGCAACAATTCTGAAGACGAAGAAGACAGTGCTATCAGTGCTAAATCTTCAGAGATTAATGAAAACAGGTGAGCATATACGCTTTTACAGATTAATGAAAACAGGAGAGCATAGACACTTTTACAGATTAATGAAAACAGGTGAGCATATACGCTTTTACAGATTAATGAAAACAGGTGAGCATAGACACTTTTACAGATTAATGAAAACAGGTGAGCATAGACACTTTTACAGATTAATGAAAACAGGTGAGCATAGACACTTTTACAGATTAATGAAAACAGGTGAGCATAGACACTTTTACAGATTAATGAAAACAGGTGAACATATACGCTTTTACAGATTAATGAAAACAGGTGAGCATAGACACTTTTACAGATTAATGAAAACAGGTGAGCATAGACACTTTTACAGATTAATGAAAACAGGTGAGCATAGACACTTTTACAGATTAATGAAAACAGGTGAGCATATACGCTTTTACAGATTAATGAAAACAGGTGAGCATAGACACTTTTACAGATTAATGAAAACAGGTGAGTATAGACACTTTTACAGATTAATGAAAACAGGTGAGCATAGACACTTTTACAGATTAATGAAAACAGGTGAGCATAGACACTTTTACAGATTAATGAAAACAGGTGGGCATAGACACTTTTACAGATTAATGAAAACAGGTGAGCATAGACGCTTTTACACACAGGCTCTTATTCAGTCATTGAGGAAATAAATTGGGGCTTTTGAATTGCAGTGCTACAGAAAAATTCTGACAATACTATAAACTGGACAGATAAGAAGAAAACATGAACATCCTTTATGGTCTGAGTATTTGAGAACAACTGGCTCATAAACAGCATCCTGTCTCAAAAAGTGAGGTATTTTGGCCATGATAAATGTCATGATGGCCTGGAGAGAACAGGGATGGAGGGTAGAGTTTGTAGAAAAAAGAGGCAGAGGCAGACCTTCACAAATGTGGATACCAGGTATTAAAAATGCTTCGGCTGTGAAAGCCCAGAGGGCTGGAGAATTGACTGGAAAAATAAAGACTTCCAGGCATGCTGTATAAAAGTATTTGGAGTCATTGCTTCTGGTCAATTCTTTACTGACTCATGACTGTGGGTTACACCAGTCTGGTGTAGCTGTTATAGGTACCCCAACGATCAACTTCTGCTTCACGGTCACCTGCTGTAAACTCCAGTGGAAAGTTCTGTTTCTTTGTCCACCTCTAGACTTAAGCTCTGTTCCAGAACCTGAGTGTCATGTGCAGAACCATTTTACAGATATGGCTTATTTCTATGCAGACTGGTGACGTTTTGCCACGCAGGCAGATCCACTATGACTTGGAAAGAAGCCCCCAATTAGTCGACACAAAGAACCTGCATTTGAGTGGGGGGGGGGGGGGGAAGGGCAGTGAGTCTGTTCTTGTTTACTGACAATGGAGGCCCTAAAACCCAAACAGGGAGTAAACTTTTTCAGAATTTCAACAGGGTATCCGAGTCTTGCCAGGTTGGTCTGCCATCCAGATTGAGATTTTGTCATTTCTATGTCAAACATTAAGGTAGCAACTGGGAGGGGATACAACAGCAGCCATGCACACATTGCTGCTGTTCTTGTTAGTCTGTTTTAGATATTAACCAGTGTTGCTCATTAGACTGTGTATTCAGCCACTATACATTGGCTGTGAGATAGTTTCTAGCGTCCCATTTGACAGGTCTGGTGGACCCCGGAGGGATATCTTTTAAAAAATGAGTTCCTTAACTTGAAAAAGATTGCATCATAAGTGTTGTTATCTTATGATAGGTAAGCATATGGTTGTTTCTCTTAATGGACATGTTCAGAAAAAGGTACAGTGATAACAACAGACATCATGTGTCACATAATATTTACTGCTGGTACCTTATTTTCGGGGGGGGGGGGGGGGGGGGGGGGGGGGGGGGGGTTGGCGCCATAGTGTAGTGGCTAGAGATTCACCTGCAGATACAAAGGTCATGAGATAAAACTGGAACGGAGCCAGACTTTAAAAAAAATGACCTTGGCTACCAGGTCAACCCAGCCTTAAATATAGGTCTAGCCCTATTTGCCCAATATGTCTGAAGGTGTGAGAAAAGGTCTTTACTTTATTGTTTTTACTTTTTTTCTGGAACCAATCTGCTCTATTCATGCTGTTGCCAAAATGGATCCAGCTCTCTAAGCTGCCAGTCATTTTGTGAATTGATTAACACAGGAATTGCATTAAAATAAAAACATTTGGTTTCAAAAGGATGTGAAGCTGGCATTTCTTGGCCGAAAAAAGCCAAAAATTAACAATGTACACAAATTTTAAAATTGTGATTAAATAATTTTTATGATATATATATTTTTTAAATTTCAGTCGACACGAAATTACAGACGAAGAGAACTATGAAGATTTTGGGGAACTGGAATCCTCAGAGGCAGATGTCTCTGACCAAGGCCACTTGTAGGTTTCATAAATGTTGACTTTGTTATCCACTTTTCCATCATTCCATATCCAGTATTCTTTTAATCAATGTCCCTTATTCTTTCACTATTCCATCATTCCTTATCCACAGTTCTCTCAATATTCCATCATTCCTTCTCCACAATTCTCTCAGTATTCAATCATTCCTTCTCCACAATTCTCTTAGTATTCAATCATTCCTTCTCCACAATTCTCTTAGTATTCAATCATTCCTTGTTCACTATTCAGTTCTTTTTATGATATCCATCCCAACTACACACTGGTTGACCTTTTATTCATGCTTTCTCAGGCTAGCCTATGTTACAAGGTGTCACGTTGTATTGTGTCTGATGACGCATGTACATGTGATCGTTTTAACGACCTGATACCTAGAACTGGCCCTAATCCCAACCCTCCACCCTACTTTACAGCCCCAGCCTGTCTCATGAGAGAGTGCAGCGTATGACCTGTGGAAGCAATATTTTTCTGCTTGTCACTCGTCAACACTGACAGCTCAAGTAAATTCATGTTGTACTTCGTCAGAGAAACGTGTAATAAAAACAACCTTGCCGGCCGCTGCTTACAACAACTAGTAAAAACGCAATGTCGCTGGCTTCTGCTTACAACAGTGAGTAACACCCAATGCAGAAAGCTTTGTGAAGACAATACAATGTGACACCCCTCTAACATAGACTAGCCAGTGTCACAGGTGAAAAAAGCATGAATGAAAGCCAACATTACGCTTTATTTGGACCAGACTTTGTAAAAAGTTCCCACTATTCTTTCACTATTTTGTCATTTTAAAAAATCTTTTTATTTTTAGATTTCAAAAAATTTGCTTTAATGTATCAGAACAGGACATTTGTTAACTTTGTACATGTGCAAAGATAAATCAGCATCTTGCATTCACTTTTCATTCATTCATTCATTCATTCCCTAATTCATTCAGTCATTCATTCTTTAATTTAACAATCATTCATTCATTTATTCATTCCATCATTCATTCTTTTATCTGTATGGGCATATCCTAAGTGGCATGACATCATTTATGCTAATCAGTAATTAATAATTAATCAAAACCTTTTCTGTTATTTGTATAAAACAAACTGCAAAAATTTGGGTTGTTATATCAACAGAACTCCATCCTCCCAACGTAAACGCACAGACAGAAAGGACCATTTCTCTCGACACCACAAAAAACCGTGGTAGTGATATAGATATTTTTCTATTTAGCATCTTGCTATATTTCTGGTTTTTGTGTAAATTGCTTGTTTCAGATTTGGGAATATTCTTTCGCCTCTTCTTTGTATATATTGCTTTGCTTGTAGTTTTGCGTGTTTCTCTGTAGCTATGTAGTAAATGCTTTATCTGTTGCTCTGTGAATGTTGGCTTAATTCTAGTTTTGAGTATATTTCTCTAATTCTTCACATAGGGTTATGTTTATTTCTAAATTAATTTCTCAGTTTATAGGAGCTGCTTGAGTGTGACTGTTTTATCTTTTAGATTTCTTCTGACCATTTTATAAATGCATCTACTGTTTTCTCCTAGTTTTAGTTAAAAATTCAATAGCTTTTGCTATGTTTTTTTTTTTAAAAGTTATTACTGTGTAAATTGTCGTGTTGTCTTTTTTCTTGTGGATTCTTGTGATTGAAAAATAAAACACATTTATTAATTTGTGATTTTTGTTAAAGCATGTTTGCTTGGTATATAAATTTCTTGAGTAGATTTTTACACAAAGTAAAAGGGGGGGCCATTTTTGTCAGAAGCAAAGGCAGGCAAGTTAGATAATTCTGATGGTGATTTCTTATGATCAGAAGAGACTTGCATTAAAACATGACAACTAGTAATCTTGATGGGAAAAGGATCAAATGAAAGCAAAGCCATACAACTGTAGTGGATTGGCCAGTTGACATACCAGGAAAAAGAATCAGATTTAATTGGAAATTCTGGTAATCTTATGTGATCCTGTAACAAAGAATGCATATTATGATGATGATTTTACTAATGGTGTTTAGTATATAACTTTATTTGTTTGTATTTGTAATGTTTTATGTATAAATGTATCAATTTTGTGGCTTAGGTGTTGCAAACATGGTCTGTTATTCTGTGATACCCGGATCATTTCCAGTGCACGTCATTTGTGCAGGTCATTTGTGCAGGTCATTTGTGCAGGTCATTTGTGCAGGTCATTTGTGCAGATCATTTGGCAGCAGATGGTTTTATGTTTATTTTATTAGGGATATAAAGAGCTCATCAGCATCATGTAGCAGGTCCTTTGCAGAACGTCGCTCTCATTACTGTCTGCCTGAAAGAAACTCTGTCTGTTGCCAGTTTTCCCGCCTCATGTACTATCATACTCAAAGAGTCACTTATATCCTGTGCCCATCTTCGTGTCGGCCGGCCCCTGCTCCTCCTTCCTGGTACCATGCCTTCTGCTATAATTTTTTCCAATCCGTATCAAGAGCTAGCTGTTTAAAAAGCAGTGGTAAACTCACTATTGAACATAAATAACAAACTGCTAGAAAATGCTTGGGTTGATTCTGTAACATCCTGTAAAGGATATGAAACTAACTTGTGACTTTATTTCTACCTCATCTTCTTATTCACCTGTAGTTAACTCCACTGGAGAGCTGTGCTTGCTTGTCCACTTCTATCCCCGTATGGTTTGTGAAGCCGAATTTTATTTTGGGAAAGAAATAATAGACACATCCACCTCTCTCACTCCCCTACACCCAGCATGTAGTAAATGTTGATCAGGGGTGTATTCTTTAAGGTTCTGTGTGCCTGCCTGAGATGTAACGAACCAGCAGGTGCATGCAATACTCAAGTTCTGGAACAAGATTAAAGTCCAGCCAATCATCTTGAATACGAAGAAGAGGAGTCCATTTATGGACTTTGATCTTGTTCCAAGAAACGATTAGTTTCTTGCCTCTCAGGCGTTCAAAGAAACCATTAGTTTCTTGCCTCTCAGGCGTTCCAAGAAACCATTAGTTTCTTGCCTCTCAGGCGTTCCAAGAAACCATTAGTTTCTTGCCTCTCAGGCGTTCCAAGAAACCATTAGTTTCTTGCCTCTCAGGCATTCCAAGAAACTAGTTTCTTGCCTCTCAGGCATTCCAAGAAACCATTAGTTTCTTGCCTCTCAGGCATTCCAAGAAACCATTAGTTTCTTGCCTCTCAGGCGTTCCAAGAAACCATTAGTTTCTTGCCTCTCAGGCATTCCAAGAAACCATTAGTTTCTTGCCTCTCAGGCAGATACACTCTGACTTTAGAGCAAATATCTCTGAAAAGAATAATCACCTACTACAAATGCTTCTTGGGGGAAGGGCAGTGGCTGTAACCCCCCTCCCCCCCCCCCCTGCCCCCACCCAGCGTGGCCAAGGAACCCACATGGGGAATCATTTTATTTAATTCTGTGTATGTATTGCTTGTTGGCTTCTGTGGCTAAGACATTGCAAACAAGCTTCGTAATGCCGAGGTGCTGGGTTCAATCCCAACTGCTGGCGATATGGCAGCGGAATATCTTGTGTTGGTTTCAACATTTGTACCAAGAGCTGACCATGCAGAAAGCAATGGCAAATTACTAAACATTTTCCTAGAAAAATAACAACGGCTAAAATAATTGCTGGCGTTGGTTCTGTAACCTCCTGTGAAAGATACGCAACTAACATTTATTGCTTCATTTACAGCATGGTAGCTTGCATTTTTTTTCTTTTTTCTGGCTTATATTGTGATATTAATTATTGGTAGAGCTATGTATTTCATATTGCTTACAATGTTTGGCTAGCATTCTGCATGAAATCTGCCTCTGCTATGTAGTTGTGGATAATTTTTTAATTTAAAAAAAAAAAAGGTGATCCCACGATTTGGGCTTTAGTTACTGTTTCACCTATTATTGTTATTATTTTTGTTTTTGTTTTGGTGTTTTGTTTTAGTGATGATTCTCTAATTTGCTTCCTTTAAAATATAAATTATGTCAGTTTAATATAATGAACTGAGCATAGCTTGGAAACAGTTTACCAAAACATGTGCACTATTTTGACTGTCAGCTGTATATTCGGTCACTTTGTGATTTAAAATCTGGCTCTTTCAAATGATAGTTCAGCTTTTTTCATACTGCTGCATTTGTAAAAGTGACTTGGTAGTTTTGTATAGCCTGAGAAAAAGGCACTTTCCTTGGTGTCTGTCTGTACATTTGTGAAGATACTGTTTTGCACTTGTGTGACTTTGGTAATTTGGCAAAAAGGTCTACACAAATGAGGTCACGTTGAAATATCAAAATGAGGTAGCTGTAAAACATTTAAAAAGTTAAACTGATTTTCTTCACAGTTTTTCATAAATTTACTTTTAAACTTAAGGGACCTGGCATTTTTTTCAAAACAAAAATATATAACTTTTATTATCTTTTTGACATGCTAGATCTTAAAGCATCTTATATACGTCTTTAAACACAAAGTACTTTTAAGCATCACTTTGCAGTGTTTATTTTTAAATTACTCTGTTTTGTGTGTAGACTTTTAGTGAAATCTGTTAAGCAAATAGATGCTGTTCAATAGAAATGTTATTTACCATAACAAGATGGCATATTGTGTGTAAGAGAAACAGGCATGTGAGTAGTTCCAGAAAGAAATATGTAATTTTTGTGGTTAAACTAATGATAACATATGTTTATTATTTAAATAGCTAAACACGTGCCTACATGATTCATTATGAAAAAAAAAAACATACATTTAACATTTCTTTTTTAATCTTTTGTTTGTTTGTTCCTTTGCCATTTAGACTCCACTAGAGTGTAGACTGAACCGACTCTTACCAATCCTTTGTATCTTTTGTATTCCCTTGCATCTTTCTTTATGTCCTCCCCACTTCTGTTTCTGATTCTCTTCTATTTCTATTTATGTTTGTTTCCCTTTGGGTTCTAGAGAAGAGAGTTTCTAGCTATGACACATATGTTAATGAATTACCAGTAAATGAAAAGTATTCATTATGTGTGGTGTATAATTTATGGTGAACAGTTAACATCACTCTACACAAGACAATCCATATTTGTTCAGTATGTCCCAGCAGATTTGGAGAAAATAGATTGTTTGTGGCTTTGAGGCAGTTAAAAAGTATTTGTTGATGAAACTGAAATGATAATGAATTTGCATTGTTCTGTTTCAGTGCCAATCGCAGGATCACTACTGCAGCCCTTGCGAGGTAGGCCAATTAGAGACCCTTTTGTGGGGGATGTTATTAGTGTGTAGACCAATTGTGTGGAATGTATGTAGTGTGTGTAGACCACATGTGTGGGATGTATGTAGTGTGTGTAGACCAGTTGTGTAGGATGTATGTAGGCTGGTTGTGTAGAATGTATGTAGTGTGAGTAGACCAATTGTGTGGAATGTATTAGTGTGAGTAGACCACTTGTGTGGGATGTATGTAGTGTGTGTAGACCAGTTGTGTAGGATGAATGTAGACCGGTTGTGTAGAATGTATGTAGTGTGAGTAGACCAATTGTGTGGAATGTATTAGTGTGAATAGACCAAGTTTGTGGAGTGTGTGTAGTGTGCGTAGACCATTTGTATGGAATGTTTGTAGTGTGTGTAGACCAGTTGTGTAGGATGTATGTAGTGTGTGTAGACCAGTTGTGTGAGATGTATGTAGCGTGTGTAGACCAGTTGTGTAGGATGTATGTAGTGTGTGTAGACCAGTTGTGTGGGATGTATGTTGTATGGGGTGTATGGACTGTTCTTATGGCAGTTAGTGGCACACTGTGGAAGAGGTTCTTCTGCCGTTAACCTCCAGTGGAGCATAGACCCTTAACCAACTTGTGCCAGGTCGTTGTATCCTTCACTATCACATGCAGCTTATCCCATGTCCCTCATATGTTTTTTCGTCTGCTTTTGTTTGTATGCCCTTGTGGGTTCCAGTGTGTAGACGTTCTCAGGTTTTTTCAGCATGTGATCCAACTGTGTGAGATTTATGGATGGTGAGCATTAGTGTGTGGTCAGATATTATAAATAATGTGAGAAGGCCAGTTGTGTAGATGAGTTTCTGATAGATTTATACAGCCAATCCAAATGTATGGAAGTTAATCATGGACAGTCAACACATCAGTGAGAAATTATAGGGAAGTCATCATCATGTATCAGGTCCTTTTGCAGAACGTCGCTCTCATCACAGTCTGCCTGTAAGAAACTCGGTCTCTCGCCAGCTCTCCCACCTCATGTACTTTCATACTCAAGAAGTCACTTACATCCTCTGCCCATCTTCATGTTGGTCGGCCCCTGCCCCTCCTTCCTGGTACCTTGCCTCCTGCTATAATTTTTTCAAATCCGTTGTGGCGCTTGATTAATATGACCAAAATATGTCAGCTTCCGAGACAGGATGCTGTTTATTAGATCTTCCTTGATATTTAGATCTATGGCAGAAAGTCAGTGGTACAAGAGTTACACCATGGAAGAGGTTTATATGGAAGTAAAACACTTAATTTAATTAAGACAGAAAGGAAGATGTATGTAAAAACTAAATTGGACAGAGGAGTTAGTCAGTGAAATGGGAAGAGAGTGAGGATGCAAAATGAAATATTAGACATCAAGACTGTAATATAAGTAACTTGTTTAAGCAGTAAGATTTTTGGTCTCTCTCATATTCCAGTCAGTTGCAAAAAAGTGGCCGCAACTCTCCATCCAGCGTTCGGAGCTACGGTTCTGACGAAATTTTCGATGATATTGACGGAAACTTCCAGGACGTCCATGGAAGGGTAAGTTGTGGTCAACATGTGTGTGTGTGTGTGCATGGTTGCCTCCATGCATGTGCGTGCATGTGTGTTAGTTAAAGGTTAAAACCAATCTTAAAAATAATTACTCGTATTTGACATGATATTGCAGAAAGATACCTGAAATGTATTTCAAATAATTATAAGGGAAATAAAGACAGCTGGAGTTATATTGAAGTCACCCATTTAATGCTGAGTTAAATGACAGGTCTGGGTGCTGTCCCCCTGTTTGTTTAACCTTTAAACTGAAAGTATTATCAGAAGTGTAAGAGATGTTATTACCAGAGAGCAAAATGATGCCCTAAATATCAGCGGTCATGAAATATGGGAGATCCGATATGCCAATGATACAGTATTGCTATCCACATCACAGACTGGTATAGAAAACTTAATAATCTCAACCCAAAGAAATAGTGAAAACCACAACTTATATATGCATAGCAAAAACAAAGATAATGCATACAGATAAAACTATTATGAAGAAAGAAATTTATGTTAATGAGGAAAGTTTTGAGTTTGCGGAAAATTGTGAATATCTTGGGTCATTGATTGCCAACAATGGTGACACAATGAAAGAAATAACAACTATCAGTTGTTCTTCAAAGTTAAAACAACTGAATAAATTATGAAATGGGACAGACAGAACTACAAAAATTAGATTTCTAAGAGCATGTATCTTTCCCATTTCAACATATGCCTGTGAGACCTGGACACTTACTGAAGAAGCTGAACAGCGCATAGATGCCTTTGATTACAAATGGTAAAGACGGATTCTGAAAATATCATGGGTAAAGAAAAGAACAAATGCATCCATACTTCAAGAACTGAGTACTGAAGAGAGTTGGCTACACAGACAATTTAAATATTTAGGTCACTTGAAACGTCACGAAAGTTTAGAGAGAAAAATAATGGCGAGGTATATGTCTCGGAAAATATGAAGAGGAAGGCCAAAGAGATGATGGGTGCAGGATGTGGCAGATAATCTCCAGATGTGTGTATCGGATGGCAGACATCTTGCTTGTGATCGAGAAGTTTTCCGGAATGTTGTTATGGGAGCCAGGTTCTGCAGGGGACATGCTACTGACTGACTATAACAGATAGCTCTATCACATACCCAGAATGCCTTGCGGGGTAAGAAAAGTCTCTTATCTTTCTCAATGGATGGCATGGTGAGTTTATTTGTAATGTAAATGCAATTGAATTTCACCAGGGATAAATGACACGGCATTTATATTAGCAGTAAAAGTAAGGAAAAATGATGCAACATTTACATTAGCAGTAAAAGTCAGGAAAAATGAGACAACATTTACATTAGCAGTAAAAGTCAGGTAAAATGAGACAGCATTTACATTAGCAGTAAAAGTCAGGTAAAATAAGAGGACATTTACATTAACAGTAAAAGTCAGAAAAAATGAAATGACAGTTATATTAACAGTAAAAGTCAGGTAAAATGGCGCATGAGGTATACGCTGTTAGACTCACATTTTTATACACCAATCATCTCTCAATGGGTGATGTGGTCAACATCACACAGCTGCCTTTACTTCCCAGGACTTTACCTGATACCTGGGAGCCAAGTACATCTGGGGAAAAAAATATGTCTACATTCAGATTTGAACCCATGAGCTTCAGATTCACAGGATTGTTTATGGTCCTCTGGTCAGTCAGCCTGCTATTGTGTAATGTGAATTCTGGTAATGCCTGACTCTGGCCCTTGAATGAATGCAATGCTGTGTCATCCACAGTTAAAGTTCTTGGAAGACCAGCTTCAGCATCTGTCTCAAGTGCAAACAGACACAAATACAAAACAGGTGAAACTGAAGGACGAGAACACAGTGCTTGTCCAAAAGTGAGTTATCACCATTAGTTCTGTTATCACCATTAGTTCTGTTATCACCATTAGTTCTGTTATCACCATTACTTCTGTTATCACCATTAGTTCTGTTGTCACCATTAGATTTACAATCACAATTAGTTCTTTTTATAATTATTAGTTCTGTTATCACTATGAGTTTTTATCACCATTAGTTCTTTTATTATCTTTAGTTATATTATGACCATTAGTTCTTGGTATCATTATTAGTTCTTGTGTTACCATTAGTTCTGTTATCACTATTATTTTTTTCTATTGCCTTTAGTTCTATTATCACCATTAGTTCTGTTGTTACCATTAATTCTATTATCACCATTAGTTCTTTTTATCATCAATAGTTCCAATTTAATCATCAATAGTTCTATTATCACAGTTCTATTATCACAATTAGTTATTTTTTTAAAATCACCTTTAGTTCTCTTAGAACCATTAGTTCTATTATCACCATTAATTCTATTATCACCATTATTTCTGTTATCACCATTAGTTCTATCACAATTAGTTCTTTTTCATCACCATTAGTTATATTATCACCATTAGTTCTATTATCACAATCAGTTCTTTTTTATCACCATTAGTTCTGTTATAACCATTAGTTCTTGTATCACCATTAGTTTTGTCAGCTTTAATGTCTTCAAGGTATTATTTACTGGCTACTTTACCTGTGGGAAATCTCTTCTCTTGTCTTGTTATGTTTATGGAAGAGTTTACATTAGGAAGAGTTTATCATTAGCTCTATCTTTCTCACTCAGACAGTATTCCTTAGTTCTATCTTACCTAATTTGGCACTCGCCTCCATTCTGAGGGTTGTGGGTTCACATCCTGACAGAGCTGGACATCTAAAAAAGACAATGACCTTAGCTCCTAGGTTGATCCAGCCTCAAGTTTGTACCAGGTAAAGTCCTGGGAAGTAAAGATGGCAAGTAGAATTGTGAGCACAGAACCTGCTGAGTGCTGATTGATCTATAAAAGAGAGGTCTAGCCCTATGTGCTTGAAGGCATACTTTACTTTCCTGGTTTGGCATCATTATATCAAAACTACTGTGCACTGATAGAATATCTGGATGTCATACACCTTTTGTTCACATCTTCCTGTTTTAAAATTCTGTTATGTTAAGTGTGTTTTTGCTCTTGTGTTGTGAAAATCACACCTGTCCACTCAGGACTGCAGGTTATTGTATGACTGTAGGGTTCAAACAGTAAAATTGTTTTATGTGATTAAACAGGAATTGTGGGCTTTGCCTTTATTAGATTCACATCCTTTATGTGCCCTTTGAGTCACAAGGTTTTAGTTTTTCAAATACATTCCTGAAGGGGAAACATTGTAAGAAATATATGTGTGAGTAAGTATATATGCACGCCTATGTGCATTGTGTTATACTTTATAAACATTTCCTTTGTGTCATATTTTTGCTGTTTTTGGCAGAGACTTATAATTGAAGTTGGGTAGGTGTGGCATTTTAACATATTTGTTTTCTGATTTTATTTTTATATAATTTTATTCACTTTTGTGTTACCATATTTACAAATTGAGTACATTATTTATGTAGTCCATGATTTATGGATAATTAGTAAATTTAGTGAAACTTATTTGGAAACTGCGGAGATTTGGTTTTATAGACGAACGATGGGAATACTCTAAACAGATAAAAAGTGTAACGAAGATGTCTTGAAAGACACTGACTCACAAAGAGAACTGATTGTCCACATCAGAAAGAGACAATCTACATTCCTTGGTCATGTGACGAGAAGAAGAAAATTGGAGTACATTGTGACGGTAGGAAAGTTGATGGGGAGAAGAAGCAGAGGATGACGAGAACACGTGCTGGACAGTTTGACATCATGGCATAGAAAATGTTCTGTGTCAGAGTTGATTGAAAGTACACCAGACAGAAGGTTGTGGATAGACATGACAACCAACACCACACAGTATGGATTTTGAGAAAAAGTCTGTGATTTATGTTCACGTAACTTTGGATCCTTTCAAAGTTTACAACCTGCATTTTTACTTCTTGTTTCTCATGATATCAACACATCTTTGTGTTTTATTTGATGTTAATCATATCTTGCTGCAGTCAGATATTTCTTTAAAGATGTGAACCTCACAATGCATACTGGGCTGCATATCTTGGTGAGACACACTTCTCTCAGAAAAGGAAGAAAAAATGAAAATTCAAGTTCTAATCCTACTTTACTGGGTATCGAATCCTGTACATCCGTGTGGGTTCGGGGACCCCGTTTTTGAGAAGAAAAATGAGTAGATCGGCTGCTTCTAAACAATTAGGTCATAAAAGCTAACTTATTAGTTTGACAAAGTCAGATGTGCCTAGCTTTAAACCACAACACAGTGTGTCAGTCACCCTTATGATTATGAATTCAGAAGACGAAGCAGCAGCCTATACCACTTTAGTAAGCGAGCAACTTTGCTTTTATACCATACTGCTAACATAAATAACCGTCCACTGTAATTATGTGATATCTCACTTGTTGGTAGGAGGAGAGACAACTTTTTTTGTAAAACAAAATTGTAGGTAGTAACTGTGCGATAATAAAATGTCAATTCTTGTTTCAGAGTTCACTACCTTGAGGAGCAGTTGCGGGATATGGAGGTGAGGGGTGATGACAGGTTGTCTGAAGAAAGAAGAAAACATCAAGAATACATGGTAGGTTTGTGTGAGAGTTGGCCTTATTTGTTGGATTGTTGTACAGTTCAGGCCCTTTGAAGATCATCACTGAAAACCCTTGATCTGTCATCGGTTTCACTGACTCATGCACTTTGACACACGGGATAATGGCCTGTATCCACCTTCATCAACTCCTAACTCATCTTCCAAGAATTATACCTTCCTTTTCTTTGCTGTTTTTTCTAAGATTATTGTATTATGAAAAGGTTATGACTATGTTTTGGAAAATAAATTATCAAAATCCTAAAAATAAAAAAAAAATTACACCAAAAAAAGTGTTATGAAGAAATAGTAAAACTAAATTATAATATTGTGAGAAAATATTACAATTATGAAAATCTTGCAAATTGTGTTACCAGTTTGAATTTAAAAAAAAGGATGAAGAACAATGTGCTTATTCTAAATCAATCAAAGATGATTGAAATTTTAGTGTCTTCATTTTTTCGGCTTCATGCAAGTGTTATTCCAACTCATTCTTTGCTAAGCTTTTCCTAATTTAATGCATGCCATAATAGGCCGTTACCACAGTTAATAAATATTTGGGTCTTATGGAGGTAAAGTAACAGATGTAACTTACATATCTTCTTAATATCCCAGTTATAACCCTGATGGGTTGAGGAGGATATTGTTGTTTATATTACTGCTACTACAAGATTTGAAGACACATTGTTGTTTATATTACTGCTACTACTAGATTTGAAGACACATTGTTGTTTATATTACTGCTACTACTAGATTTGAAGACACATTGTTGTTTATATTTACTGCTACTACTAGATTTGAAGACACATTGTTGTTTATATTACTGCTACTACTAGATTTGAAGACACATTGTTGTTTATATTACTGCTACTACTAGATTTGAAGACACATTGTTGTTTATATTACTGCTACTACTAGATTTGAAGACACATTGTTGTTTATATTACTGCTACTACTAGATTTGAAGACACATTGTTGTTTATATTACTGCTACTACTAGATTTGAAGACACATTGTTGTTTATATTACTGCTACTACTAGATTTGAAGACACATTGTTGTTTATATTACTGCTACTACTAGATTTGAAGACACATTGTTGTTTAAATTACTGCTACTACTAGATTTAAAGACACATTGTTGTTTAAATTACTGCTACTACTAGATTTGAAGACACATTGTTGTTTAAATTACTGCTACTACTAGATTTGAAGACACATTGTTGTTTATATTACTGCTACTACTAGATTTGAAGACACATTGTTGTTTAAATTACTGCTACTACTAGATTTGAAGACACATTGTTGTTTAAATTACTGCTACTACTAGATTTGAAGACACATTGTTGTTTAAATTACTGCTACTACTAGATTTGAAGACACATTGTTGTTTATATTACTGCTACTACTAGATTTGAAGACACATTGTTGTTTAAATTACTGCTACTACTAGATTTGAAGACACATTGTTGTTTAAATTACTGCTACTACTAGATTTGAAGACACATTGTTGTTTATATTACTGCTACTACTAGATTTGAAGACACATTGTTGTTTAAATTACTGCTACTACTAGATTTGAAGACACATTGTTGTTTAAATTACTGCTACTACTAGATTTAAAGACACATTGTTGTTTAAATTACTGCTACTACTAGATTTGAAGACACATTGTTGTTTAAATTACTGCTACTACTAGATTTGAAGACAGGAAATTAAATGGTTTGAACTGCAGTTAAGCTGTAAAATATATAAGTCAACACGAACGGAAAGTGGAACTGTTCACCTTAACAAAAACATAATTACAAGAAACAGAACAGGTGTTGCAGCTAGAAAGCCTTCATCATCATACACACACAAAAATCTCTAAAAATGACTAAAATTATTTTCAGCCTGGATTCTGAAGATGTCAAAATTCTAAGGCTTGGTTTAAAAAAAAACTGCATCAGTTAATTTTTTCATTGTTTCATTTGCCTCAGATGGGGTAGCGTATTAGTGTTAACATCTGAATTGTGCAAACGAATGAAGGAGGCAATTAATGTAAACAAATGTAGTTTGTGTTGTTTGGCACTGAAGAGTTCAGGTTACATTGTACATAAATGGAGCAGTCATAAAGCTTTCCCAGTCAACAAATTGTTGTCCTATTTTGGTCTTGCCTCAAATCCTCAGTGACCAAACAGCAACTAGCCATCGCAATAACTTGAACTACATAATCTCCATTTTATGTATCAGTTGTTCTTGTTCTCTCTTTTTTTAGGCTCGAATCGAGAGAGACAAAAATGAACAAATGGATTACGTGACTCAGAGGTAATATGTGAAACAGTTTAATTATGCTTTTTTCATCTTCATTTTTCTATGCCTTGCAAAATATTTCTGACTGTTGTGATCTGTAGCATCTCAGTTAAAACAGTTTTAGTCCCAGATTTAATATTCAGTTCTTCTTGATCAAAGAGGTTGTCTGTCTAAATTTTGTTTGTTTATTGTTTTTCATGCTTTAGTATATACTCATTTTTAGAAATCTTTTTCTTTCTTTTTATTTTTATAATACGAGAACTGTTCCAAATTCAACCTCAAATTGGATGTTAAATGAATTGTTTGCCATAGCCATACCATTCATTGCTAGCTCATTCAGTAATCTTTTAGCTCACTACACATCAGCCTACAGTTCAGTCGTTATTCTCGAAACAAGACACTATTATTGCCTGTCCAGCCAGCTGTGAAATTCATGGTGTCATTCTCGAAACAAGACACTTTCATTGCCTGTCCAGCCAGCTGTGAAATTCATGGTGTTATTCTCGAAACAAGACACTTTCATTGCCTGTCCAGCCAGCTGTGAAATTCATGGTGTTTTTCTCGAAACAAGACACTATCATTGCCTGTCCAGCCAGCTGTGAAATTCATGGTGTTATTCTCGAAAAAAGACACTATCATTGCCTGTCCAGCCAGCTGTGAAATTCATGGTGTTATTCTTGAAACAAGACACTATCATTGCCTGTCCAGCCAGCTGTGAAATTCATGGTGTCATTCTCGAAACAAGACACTATCATTGCCTGTCCAGCCAGCTGTGAAATTCATGGTGTTTTTCTCGAAACAAGACACTATCATTGCCTGTCCAGCCAGCTGTGAAATTCATGGTGTTATTCTCGAAACAAGACACTATCATTGCCTGTCCAGCCAGCTGTGAAATTCATGGTGTCATTCTCGAAACAAGACACTATCATTGCCTGTCCAGCCAGCTGTGAAATTCATGGTGTTATTCTCGAAAAAAGACACTATCATTGCCTGTCCAGCCAGCTGTGAAATTCATGGTGTTATTCTCGAAACAAGACACTATCATTGCCTGTCCAGCCAGCTGTGAAATTCATGGTGTCATTCTCGAAACAAGACACTATTATTGCCTGTCTAGCCAGCTGTGAAATTCATGGTGTTATTCTCAAAACAAGACACTATTATTGCCTGTCCAGCCAGCTGTGAAATTCATGGTGTTATTCTCAAAACAAGACACTATTATTGCCTGTCCAGCCAGCTGTGAAATTCATGGTGTTATTCTCAAAACAAGACACTATTATTGCCTGTCCAGACAGCTGTGAAATTCATGGTGTTATTCTTGAAACAAGAATTACAAATCCAGCATATATTTTCTGAATGAAAAATGATGGTTACTGTATTCTGGGGCCACATAGGCGTTATTGTTTAAGGACTTCATGGCACTAGGGACCAAAGTAACATCAGAAGTTTATTGTAAAACTGAAGAAGCTTCCCTGGTCGATCCAGAATGAAAGGTGGGCAATGCTTACCAGTGGAGGGGAATCAGTAAATGGCTAGGTACCCTGGCGGTGCCGTTCCTTGATGATAGGTTACCAAAACTTGTGACACTGTATGACAAGGACCTAAATGTAGGAGGTGACTATGTGGAAAAGTCAATGCAGTGACGTATGTAGCTTTTGTATGTATGTAGATGTTACTGTCAATTTGTTTAAATTTTTACCAGCCAGTTGGAGGTTGATTTAGGGAGTTGCCCTCATATATTAAATATGCTGCTTTGTTATTGCTGACTATTATGTTTTAGAATATTACATTACTATAGTCACTAGAAATGTCTTAAGACTTTACTTTCGGTAATATCTGAGTTAGATAAGATGGCTGATAAGCATGCTAAAGCTCTTCAGTAAACTGAGTTGCTAAAATGGCTGCATGATTTTGTTCCAATTTAGGAGTGAAATAAGACTACGTCCAAATAATACTTGTTAGAGAAAAAAGTGGCATACAGATACAGTGGCATTATATCACAAAGTAGACGTTGGAAGATGGATTAATGGAATAATAAACAAGATGTAGTCTGTCACTGATGGAATAATAGATTAACAGAAGCAGTAAACAGTAGAATGTTACATCCTCTGCACTGATTGTCCTAAGAGCTCTATCCAGTCTGGAAAAGAAAGCCATTACAGAAAAATCCAAAAGAATGAACAAACTTACAGTACAGTAATTCCCCTAATCTGCAATACAGTAATTCACTTTACCTACAGTAGAGTAGTTCATTTTACATGCAGTAGAATATTTTATTCAAATCACATTTTTCATTTGCTGTTAAGAGCTTTGAATTAATTGGTTTATCTCTGCTATGTAAACACTATCAGGCTAGTGCTGTTGCTCCTGTGTGCTGGGTGCAAATATGTTTGACCTAGTTCTTGGACAGATTCTATCTTTTATTTGCAGTAGCAGACTGGGAATTTATTTTCTTTTAAAGAGCATTTAGTGATACTGGACTCTGAATGCACTCGTGTGCTCTTATGCCTGTTCTCATTCTTTAACTCACATAATGTTATTCACATTGCTTACTTCACTCACCTGATTGAATTTTCTCTTGCTAACACACTCTCATTCACTCACTGATTCACTTGCTGACTCAGTCATTACTCACTCACTCACTCGCTCCATGCATTTCTGTGTATGGCTAACACTCACTCATTCACTAAGTACGTACTTTTTCTGTTAGCATGCAGTGATTCTCTCACTAAATGACTCCAGAAATGTAATACCTATGCTAACACTGACTGACTGACTGACTGACTGACTGACTGACTGACTGACTCACTCACTCACTCACTCACTCACTCACTCACTCACTCACTCACTCACTCACTCACTCACTCACTCACTCACTCACTCACTCACTCACTCACTCACTCACTCACTCACTCTCACTAACTCTCTACCTCCCATACTAACTCACTCACTCATGATCTTGCTAACACTCACTCATTCACCTAGTACATACTTTTTCTGTTAGCTTGCACTAATTCACTCAATGACTCCATAAATGTCTCACCCATGTTAACACTCACTAACCCTCTCAATGTTCTTGCATTTGTTTAACTAGATAATTTTTTGGACTATTCATTCAATTTTTTTCTTCATTTTTTTAAATGCAACTATTCAGGGCTGAGCTATATCCTCTGTCTCCAAGAATATAACACATGCTGATGTAATGTAACTGTTTTATTCAATCATTTATTTCTAGCTCATTATTATTTTATATTTCACGGACCTCAGTTGTTCTGGTATTTAACCTCTTTTTCTTTTGTTTCTTAACTTCATCAGATTACACAGAATGGAGAAAGAGTACGAAGCATTGAAGGATGAGGCTCCACGATTACATGCAGAGATTGCAAAACTTCGAACTGTAAGTAAAATGTAATGAATGGTTGATTCCTTGTAATTTGTTTTGAATAAACTACAAACATCCATCATTTTAGAATGTCTATACAAGCAACCACAGGGACAGAAATAAAGGCAGACCAAAAACACACAAGGAGCGTGAAGTTAAAAAGATGGTGTTGAGCTGCATGAGATAGAAAAAAAAACACATACATTTAACATTTCTTTTTTAACTTTTGTTTGTTCGTTTCTTTACCATTTAGACTCCAGTGGAGCATAGAACTGACTCTTAACAATCCTGTGTATCTTCTGTTTGTTTCTGTGCCTTTTAGACTCCAGTGAAGCTTAGACTAAACTGACTCCTACCATTCCTTTGTATTCCCTTCTTTTTGTCCTCCCTACTTCTGTTTCTGATTCTCTTCTATTTCTATTTATGTTTGTTACCCTTTGGGGCGACAGCATGAGTTGGTTAAGGGCCTCTGCTCCATTTGCAGAATAAAGGGCAGAAAAAATAAAGATGTTTGTAAGTTGGACAGGACTGAAGAAGTGGACTGGTTGTCTTGGTGTTGTTTGTACACCTACACAAACATCTGACAATTATGTTTTACATTTGTCATATAGATTATAATAAGCGTGATACAAACAATAGAATTGCCGCGTGAAAAATGAGTACTTGAAAGGGACAGAAGTAAGATGGGCCTGCGTGCCAAATTTGTGCCCCTTTGGAAAGAAAGTTCTTTCATCCATTGAGTAATTTTTCTGTCTGTTTCTGTTATTCCCTGTTCACTATCTACAAAATGATTACCTTTCCTGCGTGGAACATTTACAAAAATGAACATGTAAGAACTAAAAATGTTTACCACTGTCTCCATTTCTTTCTACATCTGTTATATTATGGTTTAAATGTTCGACTTCATCCTTAAACTGAACAACAAATCAATTGTTATTGTAGTATGCAGCGAAATATGCCAGGATATAAATTGTGCAATCTTTTGTTTGTGTCTTTTGTGTTCAAATGAAAAACAAATTATTCTTTTTATTTTCTTTATTTACCACTTGTTATCATTGATGCGTAGTAGAAGGTAACATTTACCACTTGTTATCATTGATGTGTAGTAGAAGGTAAATTTACCACTTGTTATCATTGATGTGTAGTAGAAGGTAACATTTACCACTTGTTATCATTGATGTGTAGTAGAACGTAAATTTACCACTTGTTATCATTGATGTTTAGTAGAAGGTAACAACCTTACGATACTTGTTATATTTGTTGTGTAGTAGAAGGTAACAACCTTACGATACTTGTTATATTTGTTGTGTAGTAGAAGGTAACGACCTTACGATAATTGTTATAATTGATGTGTAGTAGAAGGTAACAACCTTATGATATTTGTTATAATTGATGTTTAGTAGAAGGTAATAACCTTACTATACCTGTTGCAGGAGAAGATGGACATTCAGGAGCGACTACTAGAGAAACAGGAGAGTTACAACGTTCTCTATGAAGATCATGAGAAGCTGAGAGCAGACTACCACAAACAGGAAGTCTTACAGAAAAAGGAACGGCACGCAACAGGCCAGGTATGTTTAGAAACTTGCACTGCAAGCATGTCTAAATCTGCCTTCTGATTGATGAAAAGTTTATTTATTCTTCTTGTCACCATGGCTAATTAATTATTTAAATTATCTATAATCTTGTTGTTTTTTCCTTGTAAAGAAGCTCATCCTTTAGATGAGAAATTGAGTCTGTTAAACTGCAGTAGTGGTGTAACTGTTGAGCTGTTCAGTTTTACAGTTCACAGTCACAAGTTACAGAATGGGTGTTGCAGTTAAAAAGCCTTCAATATCACACACCACGTACACATGCACACACATAGCTACATTTATAGCTGTTTACAAGTTACCTGGCATTCTGAAGCATGCGTCCAGTAGTCAGTGACATTGAACTTTGAATGTCAGTTCCATGTGTGGGTTCTGCTGCCCTATGGGATTGGGGGGGGGGGGGGGGGCACTGCCATTTAACAAAATGTCATAAAAGGCAACTAATTAAGGTTGTTGAAATTTCTAATTCTAAAATACCTGGCTCAATTCTAGCTGCTGGCGATTAGGCAGCAGACATCTTTGCAATAATTTAGATAATTGTATGCAACACTGACTGTTGAGAAGCAATGGTTAACCACTCAGCAAAAATTGCCTAATAAATCCAAACTGCCAAAAATTGCTAATTTTAGTTCTACAACTTTCTGTAAAGGATACGCAGATTAACTTTTAAAAGTGTATTTAAAGAAATTAAAAGGAGAAATAAACGTTAGCTGTGCTCTAACATAGTCACCAGTAACTGTGCTCTAACATAGTCACCAGTAACTGTGCTCTAACATAGTCACCAGTAACTGTGCTCTAACATAGTCACCAGTAACTGTGCTCTAACATAGTCACCAGTAACTGTGCTCTAACATAGTCACCAGTAACTGTGCTCTAACATAGTCACCAGTAACTGTGCTCTAACATAGTCACCAGTAACTTTGCTCTAACATAGTCACCAGTAACTGTGCTCTAACATAGTCACCAGTAACTGTGCTCTAACATAGTCACCAGTAACTTTGCTCTAACATAGTCACCAGTAACTTTGCTCTAACATAGTCACCAGTAACTGTGCTCTAACATAGTCACCAGTAACTTTGCTCTAACATAGTCACCAGTAACTGTGCTCTAACATAGTCACCAGTAACTGTGCTCTAACATAGTCACCAGTAACTGTGCTCTAACATAGTCACCAGTAACTGTGCTCTAACATAGTCACCAGTAACTTTGCTCTAACATAGTCACCAGTAACTGTGCTCTAACATAGTCACCAGTAACTGTGCTCTAACATAGTCACCAGTAACTGTGCTCTAACATAGTCACCAGTAACTGTGCTCTAACATAGTCACCAGTAACTTTGCTCTAACATAGTCACCAGTAACTGTGCTCTAACATAGTCACCAGTAACTGTGCTCTAACATAGTCACCAGTAAACATATATTGAGGTCCCCGTGTGGGTTCCAGGGCCTCCATTATGGGGAAAACTAGAATAGATCCACTGCCTTCCCAGCAAGCATGTCAAAGGAGTCGACTAACTGGGGACTTCCTTCGAAGTTGGAGTGCATCTGCCCAAGAGGCAAGGAACAACCAACTGCACTCAGATAAGTAAAACGAATGTACCCGCAAAACTCAGGCCCTGGCCAAAGCCAAAGTTCAAATGGACGAACAACCAGGACTTTCTGCCGGAGCTTACAGCTGGTGAACGAAGAACAAGAAGAAGAAGAAGAAGAAAAAGAAAATCAGAGGGTTCCTGCCCACAAACTCTGTTAGTAGTGTACTGCTCGTGATCACCTTATTTTCATCCTGTCTACTTGATTGGTATCTTTGTACATTTATGTTGATGCAGGTAAAAAAAGTAAACCAACAATGTATTTAATGCACTTTTCCTTAATGTTTGTTTTTTCCTGCCCTTAGTTACTAGATGAGATGGGAAAGGAGCTAGAAGAACTTCGGAGATACAAGATCGAGCACGAAGGACGATCACCTAGCGGAAGCATATCAGAACTACCGGGGCGGTACCGAGATTTGCAGAATGAAATCCATAAACTAAAGGAGGTTAGTGTTCATTTTTCTTCATTCAATTTGCCAGTGTGGCTTCTAATCTTTGCACAAGCTTTGCTGTTTCAACTGGATTAAAGTTGCACTTAACAAAACTGCAAGGTGGCTGTAAATGGCTTGTACAGGTGAAGAAAGCTATTTCTTTAATACAAACACATAATCTGTAGACTAGGATAGCGGTTCTCAAACTGCGTACCACGAGCCGATGTCAGGGGTGCCACGGCAATAATCAAGAATTTTTAAAAATCTGCTTGAGATTAGCGAAGACAGCAGTTTAAAACAGCAGTACCGTGAAGGAAGACAAGAAGAGTTCTGGATGCAGGTGTGTTCAGCAAACAATGCTATTAGCATGGCTGCAATGCATTCTCAACGTAGACACATAAAAAAACAGATACAGAAGCAAACTTTCTGGGTCAAGTGATTTGAGGGTAAAATTAACTAAACTTCCCATATATGTAAAGGAAATAATAGACAGTTCATCCAAACAGTTTCATTCATCACATTAAAGACAATTGAACATTAAATTTACACTGTTTTTTTTTATTCTTTTCCTAAGTATTCAAACCACTTTAAGGGTAGGTGTGCTGCTGACATTTTTTTTTTTTTTTTTGGTCGCCATTGATCAGATGTTTTGATAGTACTGGTAATAGTCAATGGTTGCCTGCTTTCCATTCTGCCTTGACCCAGTCTAAAATGGGTAGCAGGCAATCTTTAGGGAAGTGAAGTTAGCTGGTGTGATGTTGCCCACATCATTCAATAAATGCCAGTTGGTCTGTAAAATTATGATTTTAGCATCATAGGCTCGATTCACCACTGGCAGGAAAGGCTTCTGTACTACTTACTTACTTAACTATTCCTGGCTGGATGTGGGCACCAGATTTGTTAAAAACACTTGCATACAATCATTTTTCATTTGAATTCTTTTGAGATTTTATAGCAGTTAAACTTTTATTAGTGTATAAATTATAGAATTTGCAGCTCTCTTGAATTTTATTTGTTTATCTCCCCCCTTCATCCCCCCCCCCCCCCCCCCAGTTTTGTTTTAAATACATAAGTTAGAAACCATTTTAACAAGTTGTTAAACTATAAATTCTTTAAAGGCTTTTATTTTTTTGTTGTTGAGGATTTGACATTGAATTTTTTAACTTCAGTTTTGCAAAGAAGTCAGCACTTTACCAGCATTTAATAATTTTACATTTATTTGTGAAAGTAACCAGCCTGTACACAAGACATTTTTAAAAGTGAACTTTGTTAACTGCGCAGTTGACTGTTTTGACTGTTAATAGGCACACAGTTTTTAGCCTAAATCAGAACTTTTAAGTTTTATGTCAGAAGCATAACTTTATGAAACCTATGGCCTATTTGCAAGCATTTACACAGCATGATTGTCATAATTATTTAAAAAGTATACTTAAAATATATTAAACAGAACAATCTATTTAGTATTACAGTCATTTACAGTTAAAATATAATGTATGCGTTATTTAAAACCAAACATAATTCACAAGCATTAATATCCAGCATGGAAACAGTGAAAAACCATTATATATCCTAATTATTATCCAAATAGGTTAAACAGGATATCATTGTTTCAATTACTACTACTACTACTACTACTACTACTACTACTACTACTACTACTACAGATGCAAACATAATGGAGTGAAATATGCACTGCCTAACATTTAACGTGACTAAAACTGCCAACATGGCAAAAGACAAGGTTAAACAAAGAAGCCTGCAAAAAAAAAAATAGACATTGTTTTTTGTTTCTTATTAAATACCAGGAGATCTAATTATAGCAGTTACAAGCAAATAGAAATACTACTTGAAATGAATATTTTGAATGTGGCAGAAATGTAAATAAAAGAACCTTTAAAAAGTATGCATTTAATTTTGCAGCATCTAATTATAAAAATACAGAAATTTTGTGTCCATAAATAGTTTGAGAGATTTGTTTGTTTTTTAAGACCATCATGATTAATATTATACACATGAAAACTGGAAGCGTAACTTAGGCTACTTTGAGTCAATGTTGAGCCAGAAAATATGTTTTTGAAAGCTGTGGACAAATTAAATAACACAGTCGTTATTATTATTTTATGCTGTGAAATATAAATAAAAAGAAAACTATCTGCTAACAGTAGTAATTTGGGGGGGGGGGGGGGGGGGGGGTATAATTTTGTTCATAGATTGTATGATTGCAGTCATTTTATTCACACATTTACACTTTGTTACTCATTAAGCACATCATTAATCTATCTAGTCTCTTTGTTCACATATTTTCTTTTCAAAAATTAAGTTTGCTTTGCCAGGTAGTACTGAATTTTAAATATATTAAAGTCGTTTAGTATTATAATCACTAATTTATGTCAAGTGACAGTCATTAAAGTGACACAATGTTTTCTTTCTAATGTCAGATTTAATACATTAAAATTCTAAGAATGCTAAGCAAGTGGAGAAGAGGCATTTGACATGTCCAGATGTGAATTATTTTACAAAGAACATTGTCTTTTAAATGATACGAGGCTAGGAAGGCAAACTTGAAACTAAAAATACATTTTTTTTAATATAAAAAAAAAAACCACACACACCGAACTGCAGTTTCACATTTGACCTAGAAACACTAAACAGCTTGAACTTTAGTTGTAATTCTGTTTCTTTTCATTATGATATATTGACAATTATTGTTAAGGGCCAAGTTGTTTTTTTCTCCCTGAGTTAAGAAATCACTTCCACTTGTTCACACATAATCTAGAGGCTAGGAATTAAAAACAACAAAAATCCTGCACTGTTGGGTATTTCAATGTAACCCTGTTGTCCAGAGAAGTCCCCAAACTGCCACTTGAGGTTGGGTCCAGATGCCCATAAATGTGACTTCTGATTTGTCTATAGTGACCCGTTTATGAGGCACATAGTTTATGCTGTTGGCTCGAGTTCACCCTTGTGAAATGTCTGGGAGGTCAGGATATGAATATATTAGTTAAAAATATAATTAAAGGTTTCCTTGTGAACCAAATCAAATTTTCCCCAAGTCTCAGTAAAAGAGTCACCAAGGACATATTGTTTTTAGGCCCTAGGAATGTATTCTGTTTGATGCTTCACTTTGTGTTTATTGGTAACTCCCTTTATATATTTTTCACCCTAAATTTAGATAAATATATATATATATATTTTTTTAAATTTATTAATGTGTGAAATTTTGGTTTTTAAAGATTTTTTCAAATGGGGGATTCCCATGGGAACCATGACATAATTTTTTTTTAGCATTACCAGGGTGACCTGGTTAATGAATGAATGAAGTAGAGTTTACGTTACTGCAACTGTCTGCAAATACACATAAAAAAGGGGAGATAAATAGCAAACAACTAGTAGTAGTGGTAGTAGTAGTAAATTTTACCCCACTAGAACATCACACAAGCGATAAAGACCTGATGACACAAAGTGCCACCATGTGGATGAGGATCACCCGTGAAGAGGTCCCAGAAACCGCGTTGAGCCAATAGGTCATATTTATTCCCACGCTAAATGGCGGCCCCTGGCAAGAGCCAGAGTGGGGCTTCAAAACAACGAAAAATTGCATCTCATTAGGAGATGACTAGTTGTCCAAATAAACAACAACTGGTCCGGAGCATTGGCCTTTTGACTTTTGTTGCACAAGCGCTTTTAGGGTTGATATTTTGTAACTAACAAGGCAGCCTTTGCTTGTGCATGTGTATCATTGATTAACCTGTGTTGCAGATGTTGCTGTTTGCGAAAACTAACTTGTATGCTTCATGGTTTGTAGATTTGTTCATTTTCTTTAGTAGTTAAGGAGAGAGAACTGTGACAGTCTTAGTTAGTATAAAATATGAGTTATGGCCCTTTAGGTTTCATACACATCTGCTTCCACAATTATTCTCAACTGACCAAGACCTCTCCTTTAAACAAATGTAACAGTACTTTTATAGGTCATCTAAAAACAGTAATACTGATAAATGACTGATTTGTTCCTCTAATCAAAAGGCAATGTGGTTGGAATGGAAGGATTTGTGGAAGGTTGGTAACCAATTATGATTACCCACTAGGTGGTATATTGATGATATAGAGGTAGTCGCTTGCTTCTTTTTGTTTGTTTGCTGGCACACTTTCTATCATGTGAATACTTTGTATCAGACGTACAATAACTTATCACTGTTCCGTCAACTTACACTGAATATGCACACTGTGTGCCCCCAGGTTCATGCACTGTTTATTTTTTCTGTAAATTTTTGCATGGCTTATCAGTTTTCAACTTGGGAAGGAATTTGGCTGATTTGATAATGTGCCGCCCCCCCCCCCCCCCCTTTTTTTTTTCCTCCTCTATTTTATGAAGTCTGTTCAGTGAGCATGTTTTATTTTACGTTTTTTTTTTTGGTGCTGTAAGACTTAAACTTGCATCATTTTTTAAATTTAACCAGTATCTAAATTTTCTAACGTAATTTATAATTGTGCTTTTCTGATGTCAGCTCTCAGCAGCTTGTTGTCTGTGTGTTGTATTTGCTCATTTCTAGAGAACACAGCTTCCATTACTGTGCACCTGTTTCTATGACTACTGTCTTGGATGAATGTTCAGTGCTGTTGTACACAAATTTGCATGAGTTTTAATCTTTCTTGTCTGTTTACACTGTGAGGCAGAGGAAATTATGTGCTGTACTTCTTACCTTCTATCCTTTGTGTACATACGATCTGGACTTTAATGTGTGTGTGTGTTTTTAGAACTGACATTACAGGACATTTACATACATGCTGCCTCCTCATCTTCAGCATCCAGTAATGTTTTCCATTGCTGATGGTGCCAGTTGCAGTTTGATTTAGAAATGTGAAAGTGTTGCCATTGTTGTTTGCTGCAAGCATTGAGTCAGCCTAGCCTGGTGAAATGGGAAACTGTTGTCTCTGTTGTTTGCTGCAAGCATTGAGTCAGCCTAGCCTGGTGAAATGGGAAACTGTTGTCTGTTGTTTGCTGCAAGCATTGAGTCAGCCTAGCCTGGTGAAATGGGAAACTGTTGTCTCTGTTGTTTGCTGCAAGCATTGAGTCAGCCTAGCCTGGTGAAATGGGAAACTGTTGTCTCTGTTGTTTGCTGCAAGCATTGAGTCAGCCTAGCCTGGTGAAATGGGAAACTGTTGTCTCTGTTGTTTGCTGCAAGCATTGAGTCAGCCTAGCCTGGTGAAATGGGAAACTGTTGTCTCTGTTGTTTGCTGCAAGCATTGAGTCAGCCTAGCCTGGTGAAATGGGAAACTGTTGTCTGTTTCTTGTTGCCTGTATTGAGTCAGCCTAGCCTGGTGAAATGGCAAGCAGGAGGACAGTTAACTGATCTCCAGATCTGATGATCCTGGAACCATTTGAAGGCTTCGGACTTCATAATTACTTGATAGTAACTGCCATAGAATTTCCTATTCCTTGATTCATGGTTGCTTGGTGAATCCCTTTAAGACTGCGTTTTAATTCTTGCATTTGCCTTGCTCAGGTCTTCAATCCATAGAGTTCTTACTTGAGCCTGTATCTGCTGGAGTGAAGTTTTTGTAGCCATATTTTACTGACCCTGTACTAGAGCACCATATTCAAGGTGACTGTGTTGTAGAGCTCTTTTTTCCCTTCCCAAACTCAGAAACTAGTGGGATGTGCAAGAGCACTGGAACTTAAAATCTGTGGAAAGACAAACCACTGGCTGGGGTTAGACCTTATCAGTTGATCAAGCCCAATGATATGCTTTAGCTATGTCTTGAAAATATCTGAGACACAGAGGATTTGATTTGTGTGTCATCACCAATTTGAGATCTAACCATAGTTGATGCGCCTGGTTGGGATATTCAAATCTGCTCTGTTCTCAGCTAGGGAAGTAAAGTCAGCGAGGACAGAAAACCGGTCAGTCACGTGATTAAACCTTAACCTGTTCGGTTGTATGCCTTGATGATTTCACTCTGACAGTTAGAACTATTTGATTATCATTAAAAGATAGGAAATACATGATGTATATATTAGTTTTACAGATCTAATGACAGTAAAAAAAAACTAAGGATATTGCAGCTGATTAGCCTGCATCGGCAAAACAATAAAAAGTTATCTTTCCTTTTTTTCCCCACTGAAGTCTTACATGTACACTTATGGTTGTGGCTTCATTCTGTTTATAGTGCTTTTGTGTTTGTTGGATTTCAGCATTACTTTTGTTTTTAAATGCTCGATTTAACTTTAAGCACCAGCAAATGTGCACTTACCTTGTCAGTTTTAGAATGAGTATGTTCTTGCATGTTATTTGTAATAAAGTATTATTTTGCGTGCATGTTATGTGCTAATATCCGCTGGTATGTTGTTTCATGTACTCCTTTTCTGCATATTTTAGTTTGATTTTAAAAGACAGCTAAATAATTAAACATGATAAGCAAACATGTAATGTGCAATCACTATTTGACAATCATATGATAGTTTCCAAGTTTAAAAAAAAATTCTAGTATATTATTAAAACAATTGACGTGCCAACTACAGTTTTTAAGGAATTGCAAAGGGCACTGAAGCCGGTTCAATTCACACTTAGACACCCCTCCCCCCACCACAGTGCAACAATAATTTGTCTGACACCGAAAAATAATAATAAAAAAGAGAACATATCAAACTGAAAGCCTTATAAACTAAAATTTAATCCTCTAAAATGAGGTACTTGTTCTGGAGAGAAGCTATTATCTAATTTTGGTTCGTTCAATGAGTGCAGTATTTTTTTTTATGTGATCTGAGAACTAGTTAGGTAAGCCATTTTTTGGCAGCCTCTAGTTGTAGTTGCTGCTGGCAAAGCATGTTGTTAGCAAAGGTTTCACTGGCACTCATATTGTGAGCAAAAGTTTTACTTGAGGAACAATTAACACTTGTGAACTGAGTAAAGGTTTCACTTGGGGAACAGTTGACACTTGTGAACTGAGCAAAAGTTTTACTTGGGGAACAATTGACACTTGTGAACTGAGCAAAAGTTTTACTTGGGAAACAAGTGACACTTGTGTGAACTGAGCAAAAGTTTCACTGGGGAACAATTGACACCTGTGAACTGAGCAAAAGTTTCACTTGGGGAACAGTTGACACTTGTGAACTGAGCAAAAGTTTTACTTGGGGAACAATTGACACTTGTGAACTGAGGAAAAGTTTCACTTGGGGAACAGTTGACACTTGTGAACTGAGCAAAAGTTTTACTTGGGGAACAGTTGACACTTGTGAACTGAGCAAAAGTTTTACTTGGGGAACAGTTGACACTTGTGAACTGAGCAAAAGTTTTACTTGGGGAACAATTGACACTTGTGAACTGAGCAAAAGTTTTACTTGGGGAACAATTGACACTTGTGAACTGAGGAAAAGTTTCACTTGGGGAACAATTGACACTTGTGAACTGAGCAAAAGTTTTACTTGGGGAACAATTGACACTTGGAAAAGTGTAATCCACAGTTTCAAGAAGTTTTTTTGGGTTTTTTTGCTGTTTGCTAATAGTATCTTACAGAGACAGGGTTGTATAGCTTCAGTTTTTGTTACACGAGGAACAACTGAATCTAAGCTCTCAGGATGTGTTTTTCATTAAAAAAAAAAAAAAATTATGCAATGGTAGAGTTACTGTTCATTTGTGGATTTTCTGTATGGTTTTGTTTTTATGAGAAGAAAACTGCCTCTTGAGATCTCAGTATTTTTTTGTATTTCTTTTAGGAGAACCGGAACCTGCACGACTCTAATGAAGAGCTCAATGCCCAACTGCTAAACCAATGTATTGGAGAAGGAAAATCATTGATCCGTCCTTCCCAAGGACAGTCTCTGGCTGAGGAGTTGGAGCACCTGACCAAAGAGGAGGTAAGTGGAAATTTGTTGGAGGAGTTTGGACTTCTGTCAGGGATGCATCAGGGCTGAGCAATATGTGGTTGTACCCCTGGACCAGGGCTGAGCAACATGTGGTTGTACCCCCAGACCAGGACTGAGCAACATGTGGTTGTACCCCCAGACCAGGGCTGAGCAACATGTGGTTGTACCCCCAGACCAGGGCTGAGCAACATGTGGTTGTACCCCCAGACCAGGGCTGATCAACATGTGGTTGTACCCCCAGACCAGGGCTGAGCAACATGTGGTTGTACCCCCAGACCAGGGCTGAGCAACATGTGGTTGTACCCCCAGACCAGGGCTGAGCAATATGTGGTTGTACACCTGGACCAGGGCTGATCTACTTACCACCTCTCCATGGTCAGCTTAGCAACAGGTTCCCACCCTGTGTGGTGCATGGGCCCCGTCAATCGTACTGATGTTTTCTTAAAAGTCAGAGTGCACCTGTCAAAGAGGCAAGCAACCAACAGTCTGCACACGAATTAGCCAGATCTGTACAATGAATGTGCACGCAAATTCCAAGCCTTGGAACAAGACCAAAGTCCAGAAGTGGACTAACAACCAGGATTTTCCTCTAGAGTTTTAGCCAGTGAACTTGAAGGAGGTCTGTCTGTCACATTTGCAGCATAGCAACAGCAGCTCGTTGTTGGTTCCAGAGCCCTATTTAGGGAGGGGGAGGGAGGAGGACCCACCCCTTTCTAACCTATAACAGCATGGATCCTGACTGTTGCTGTTCTCCTGCTGCATTCACTCTTAAAATGTGGTTAGCACACTATGTTGTAGTTTACAGCTAGGCTGTGGTATCTATAACTTTTGATCAAACACATCAAATTTCAGCACACCCTTAATTACATTTTATAATTTGATGATGGTAGTGATGTCTTGAAGATGTTATTATTATGATAATGTAATGATTGTGATAATGTAGTGTGACGGTAGTGTTGATGTCATGGTAATGTGATGGTAGAGTTGATGTCATGGTAATGTGATGGTAGAGTTGATGTCATGGTAATGTGATGGTAGTGTTGATGTCATGGTAATGTGATGGTAGAGTTGATGTCATGGTAATGTGATGGTAGAGTTGATGTCATGGTAATGTGATGGTAGTGTTGATGTCATGGTAATGTGATGGTAGAGTTGATGTCATGGTAATGTGATGGTAGAGTTGATGTCATGGTAATGTGATGGTAGAGTTGATGTCATGGTAATGTGATGGTAGAGTTGATGTCATGGTAATGTGATGGTAGTGTTGATGTCATGGTAATGTGATGGTAGAGTTGATGTCATGGTAATGTGATGGTAGAGTTGATGTCATGGTAATGTGATGGTAGAGTTGATGTCATGGTAATGTGATGGTAGAGTTGATGTCATGGTAATGTGATGGTAGAGTTGATGTCATGGTAATGTGATGGTAGAGTTGATGTCATGGTAATGTGATGGTAGTGTTGATGTCATGGTAATGTGATGGTAGAGTTGATGTCATGGTAATGTGATGGTAGAGTTGATGTCATGATAATGTGATGGTAGAGTTGATGTCATGGTAATGTGATGGTAGAGTTGATGTCATGGTAATGTGACTGTAGTGTTGATGTCATGGTAATACTATGATAGTAGCATTGTCATGACAGGGGTGTTTATGTGTTGACAGAGCTGATGTCATGATAGTGGTGATGGTTGTGATGGTGTCATGCTATTGATGATGTCATACTAACTGTAGAAGTGTTCATTAATTGATGAGGTTAACTGTTGTGTTCTTCAGCTTCTGGAGCAGCTGAGGATGGAAAGAGACATTAATTTTCGTCTCAAGCAGTACGTGGACAAGATCATCATCACCATCTTGGAGAAAAACCCATCTCTTCTGGAAATCACCAACAGATGAGGGGCCCATATGGTTTCATCCAGGGCCTATCCACAGACGAATGAGTTCTGTTACACACACACACACACACACACACACACATACAAGGATGAAAAAGAAACCTACTCTCATGTTAAGATAGTCTGGTTTGCAGTGTTATCTCTGCTTTCAAATATTTTAAGTATAAAATACAGATTTTTTAAATTGAAATGTTGAATGTGTATTATAGAAGTAAGCAAAGAATTCTCCTGTGAATATCTGTCCAAGATAAAAACATTTTAAAATATTTTAATAGCGTGTATGTTAGCATCTGTGGTTTAGGTGTTGCCTTGTATTTCCCGGGTGCTGGTTTTGATCCCAGATTAAGGCAGTGTGACAGCAGACCGCTCTGTGCTGGTTTTGATCCCAGATTAAGGCAGTGTGACAGCAGACCCCTCTGTGCTGGTTTTGATCCCAGATTAAGGCAGTGTGACAGCAGACCGCTCTGTGCTGGTTTTGATCCCAGATTAAGGCAGTGTGACAGCAGACCGCTCTGTGCTGGTTTTGATCCCAGATTAAGGCAGTGTGACAGCAGACCGCTCTGTGCTGGTTTTGATCCCAGATTAAGGCAGTGTGACAGCAGACCGCTCTGTGCTGGTTTTGATCCCAGATTAAGGCAGTGTGACAGCAGACCGCTCTGTGCTGGTTTTGATCCCAGATTAAGGCAGTGTGACAGCAGACCGCTCTGTGCTGGTTTTGATCCCAGATTAAGGCAGTGTGACAGCAGACCGCTCTGTGCTGGTTTTGATCCCAGATTAAGGCAGTGTGACAGCAGACCGCTCTGTGCTGGTTTTGATCCCAGATTAAGGCAGTGTGACAGCAGACCGCTCTGTGCTGGTTTTGATCCCAGATTAAGGCAGTGTGACAGCAGACCGCTTTGTGCTGGTTTCAGCAATGGTATTGAGAGCCTGCCAGTCATTAAGCAGCAGCAAACTAATAAATGTGAAATTGCCCAGTGAACTCACAAACGGCCAACAAATGTTGCGGTTGGTTCTGCAACAACCTGTCAAGGGTACACAGCTAACTTTAGTCAGAAGCAAAGAAAAGCTGCCCTCAATAGGGGATTATTTTTCTAAAATAAAAATAAGTGATAATATTGCTAGTTTCTGGACATTTCAAATATCTGAAGTTTTTGTTGATAGGGACTACTTCACAACTGAAAATATACACTTCTGGGAATCACAGATACAAAAGTAATCAAGATTCAAGTTTGCATGTTTTCCATAATATTGTTTTTTTGGTTTTTCTATAAAATACAAAAACATATTTTATTTTATAAGGGACAGCTTATTGTGAGAATCATATAATAGCAGTCAGTGTGCAGTATTGCATAAACTTAGGTTGGGATGAGAAAGTAAAACCACATTTTCTGGAGTACAGGTGCAAAAACCAGAACTTTGCAATATTTGGGTTTTTTTCTTCTGTTTATATGTGATGATTATTTTTAATGTTGACAATCCACGTGGGATCCTGGATATCACTGTTGCAGATTTATGTATAGTGCTGCTGTCGTGCTGCAGTGTTCTGTAATGAGAAAGAAGTTTGCGGTGGAACTTGCTTATTCTAGAACTTCTTCCTACAACTACACCTGGTCTAAGTTCTCTGTATTCCATGGTCATCTCAGTGTGAGGCAAAGGTCACCACCTTTCTTTGAGGAAATTTAAATATAATATAATCTCTAAACCTAGACAGAATCATTCTATCAAATAAATTGTATCATATGGTTTTCCCATACATACAATTTGTTCCAGTGTTATGACTTGATAGTTTGTTTTAAATAATGCTATGACATCACAGTAAGCAAATGTGCAATGTTTTGACATAACAGTGTCATAGTGGTATGACATAACAGAGAATAGTTGTCTAGTGTTGTAACATAAATCAGAATAATAATATAATGATATCATCTGTGCAGTTAAATAATTGTATAGAATTTTCATGTTTATAACGGACAAATTATTTTTATCTGTATTTATAGTTTTATGAAAAAGCATCATTGTGGTATGTTTTCTCTGCCTGAATGGTTTTCCAAGCTAAGAGTTAAGTTCATGTGGTCAGACAGTTTGCCAGGTTGAGTACAGGCTAGGTTTTCCTTGTGAGATCATATGATTTGATCTTACGTGGGAATAGAACATGCAACTGACAGTCTTTGAGCTAGGCACCTGACCACACATACTGTTTCTACCTACAAAATAAATATTTATAAACAGGTCAGTAGCTCATAGTGTACAGTTTTGTCTTCATAACATACGTAATGAATGTCACTGATTGAGAGAGCTTTGTTTTCCTGCACAGTGTAGAATTTGAGCTGTGATGTTTCAGTTAAGCCTGTGTTCTCTTCATCAGGTTGCAGATAAAATGTCTACAATGACTAGATTAGGATTACTGAATCTGTCAACATTGGCACAGGAAGTGCTGTCCAGATTTGTTGGGATGAGAAAGAAAATATAGAACATGTGGACTAACAGTGCAAGTATGTCGATATAGACAGTTACTTGGCTGTAGTTGGATATCTGCTGAATAAGACTGAGCACCTATTCTTTGAGCAGAGTGCTATGACGTCGATTCTGCCGACAGATAACAAAACATAATTTATCATTAATGCTGCCTGCAGTTAAATGTCTGACCTGCCAGTTCAGCTGCATTGTCCAACAGCCTGGTTTGACACCATGTTGTTATATTCTTTCATTACACTTAGTTACTCTCTTGAGGAAAGATACTAACCACCGCCTTACCAGCGTAGTAAAAGATGAAGCATTAGTTCACCACATTGGCAGCTATGAACCTTTTTGTGTGTGTGTGACAACAGTGGAATGATGGACAGTGTAATGGTAACAAGATATACCGGCCTCTTCAAAATGATAGGACTCGGAAAAGTCAGAGGCAGACAAAAAAAGACCTGCATAGAAAATGTGGCTAGTTAGACATGCCTCAAGCATTAAGCCCATGCATGTGACCAACTGAGACGCAGGGAACTGATTAGATTGTCAAGAGAAACTGATAACCTGGTGATTTACAATGTTAATGGGACTAGCATGATGATATCGATTAAAGTGATTAGCTAACCACACCTGTACAACAGTATTCGCTGTGTGTGATTATCTGGCTTTGGCATGTGTAGTGATTAGGCAGTGCATTGAAACATCACAGTTCACAACTCAAAGACAGCCATTGAGAAACTAGAGTTTTCCTTGTATTCACGTTTTTTAAATGAACATTGAGTTTTCAAAATTAAATTGTTTACTTCATCAAGTAGTCTTGAATAACTTAGAATGGTTGCTTCTATATGCTCAGTCACTACTGCTTTATGGATTAGAGACATGGAGGATGACTGAAACAATTACAAGAAAACTACAAGTATTCATTGACTGATACTTGCGCAGAATGGTTTGAGAGAATCACTCATGCAGAGCTTATTGAGAGAACTAAACATATTCCAGCAGTTCAGCAAGTGAGGAAAAGATGCTGATCCTGGCTAAGACACACTTCAACAAAACCTGTTGATAATATAGCTAGAATATCCATTCACTAGCACACCAATGATACAATGGACAGAGGGTGGACCTAAAAACACATGGATGAGAGAATTAAAAACAGATGATTATAACCCTGAGCTGCAATGAGGGATAGCAGGAAGAAGAAGAAGAAAGAGGAAAGAATACAAAAACTCATAATGCCAGCGGTATCAGAATTACCTAGTTGTTTTTGTTTTTTGTTTTTTTCCAGTCAGCATCAAAATCTGTGGATGATTTCATTCATGAGAGTCGGTCTGAAGATCACTATTTTTGGCATAAACATGTTTTAGTAATTTCTGCGCTTTATGTTGGTCTGTCGTTATGCAAATCTTCATGTGAATAATAACACTTCTTTGTTGTAGAGCTGTTAGATTTTTCATATATATTGATGCAAAATATTTAAAAATAAAACATTCCTGAAGGAATCGGTGAGTTATTTTTTGCAGCCGTAAGACATTAAATTTTATCTTTTCTACATACCACATTTTTATGACTCAAAATATTTTTGCTCTAGAAGTGTATGAAAATGTACATAGAGAATTCTTTATGTGTCTTTGTTGTATGTTGTGTAATTTATGGTGAACTAGGCAGGCAGAATGACCCTACTTTGCCGTCTGCTGCAACTCTCATTTGTATGCTGTGCTGTGATACCTCATAAAGGTGTTCTGCCATGTTTATGTTTTTATGCTTTCTCGTTACAAAAATATGACTGACCATGAAAATGAGAACTTTTCGTTTGGCAAGTTTGAGTCTGAGTTTTAGTTAGCAAATAAGGACTTATCGCAGGAGCTGTCATCTTTAAAATTATGACTTCAGGTGGTTACAAAGTGACAGAGAGATCACATTTTTATTTCACAAACATGCAGTAACTGTAATTTGTAGATCATGATTTGAGTCCAAAAAATAAATTAATGGTATAGTCAGCGATTCATAAGTCATAATGTTTGCCGAGTGATTGATAGATGGGTGTTTTAGTGATGTAATTAATGACTGGTAGATGAGGATTTTATTGATGTAAGTAATGATTGGTAGCTGGGGATTTTAGTGATGTAATTAATGATTGGTAGATAAGGATTTTAGTGATATAATTAATGATTGGTAGATGGGGATTTTAGTGATGTAATTAATGATTGGTAGATGGGGATTTTAGTGATGTAATTAATGATTGGTAGATGAGGATTTTATTGATGTAATTAATGATTGGTAGATGGGGATTTTATTGATGTAGGTAATGATTGGTAGCTGGGGATTTTAGTGATGTAATTAATTATTGGTAGATTGGGATTTTAGTGATGTAATTAATGATTGGTAGATGGGGATTTTATTGATGTAGGTAATGATTGGTAGCTGGGGATTTTAGTGATGTAATTAATGATTGGTAGATGGGGATTTTATTGCTGTAGGTAATGATTGGTAACTGGGGATTTTAGTGATGTAATTAATGATTGGTAGATGGGGATTTTATTG